ATACAAATTGGCTGAAATAGTGTGTAATAATTGTGTAATAATGTGTGAGCCAAAGAAATCTGCGTGTTGACTTTTTTTTTTTTTTTTTTTTTTTTTTTTTTTTTTTTTTATTGGGGAGGAATAAGATCCACGTGTAATTTCGATAGAAGCTTAAATCCGCTCCTGGATCTGCTGAACGCATCTTATGAGGCCGCTTTGTATGCGACACGCATCCTGGATGTAGGCCACAGTTGAGCGTGTCGACAAGAGTTCATTAGGGATGAGGCGGGGTGCGAACCATTAAAAGGTGTGATAAAACACAAGTCGGTAACGTGAATCAACAGCAGGAGTGCGATAAATTAGAGCAAGGATCGGGACGTAGGCTCGGGAAAGAGGGCGGTTGAAATTAGCCGAGCAGAAGGCAGGAAGGGATCGAAGGAAACCGGCGAGCGATAAATCAGTGAGGAAAAAACTTCCGGGAATGAGAGGAGACACGTTGCAAAGCCTCGAGAATTAACGTCCAGTCTCATCGCTGAAAGTAAATAGAATGAAAGTTCTCAGTAGCGGAATTCCATTATGAGTTCATCGAATCAATGTGGCACGGTTAACCCTAACTTCATTAATATTTCTCGTGAGAGCCTTGATTCCTCGTCAATACATGACTTCAAATGATAGCCGCTGTCTTAGGTCTTAGTCTTAACTACTAAAGAGTTACAGAAGAAAGGCAACAGGGTGAGAACCTTTGTTTTATTTTGTTCTTCCTCTTTTTTATCCTGAATTCCTGAATAAAATTCCATTAAATCGTCGATCGACTGAATTTAATCAGAGTCAGCCTGACTACATTTATTTTGTTAGTTCTTGAAGTATATTAACGTTATTTTGACGTATTTTTAAAATTACAGAATTTTTTTTTCTTTTTTAATTTCAACCTTTTAGATAACATACCCGCGCTTTATCACTACACTTCCTCATCCACCATATGTATGTTCCTTTCCCAGAAAAGATGGTCAGATTAATTTGATCCTACTTGGGATATCTAGGGGTAGTCGTAAAAAATAAAATCCTGACAAGACAGAACTCTCACTAAAATACAAAGTTTTTGATGTGTACCATTGAGGATGCTTTAGAGACATCCAAAAATTTTCTCCTTTTTTCCAAAATGATTATTGATCAGAACAAAAGCATGTTTTGAGCAAAAAGGAGGCTCAAATACGTTTCTTTTATCTTTGCCTGTATCGTTCTCGTGACCCTTGAAGTACCACTACAAATTAGACAAACGGGAACAAGCACGACATGAAAATGGAGCAAGGGAAAGGACGCGTGTCCATGACGGCGCAGAGATACAACTATTCGTACTTGGTAGATGTCCATATTGCATCGTTTAAAATTGAAGGCGGTATGGCGCGATGCAAGAACTCGCAACGCTTTGCTCTAGATGCCAATGCAGTGTTAGTGTTGCTCAAATTCGGGAGATTTTTTTTGATTATTTGATGGATTTGAAAACTATACAAAAACGGTACGCTGTTGATTTAAAATCTACGCTACGCTGTTGGTAGAATCGGTCTTTAAAATCTGTAACATTTAATTAAGGAATTTAGAACAGTCTCAAGCTTTTATTTTGAAGTACTCTTGTCCTCTGGTTGATCCGACTGCTTTCTTTTTTATTTATTTTTTTTTTTAAATAGTACTAGATCAAAATGGTCTATTTTTAATTAGAAAATCTGAAACGGGCGGTGTAAGAAGAGGAGGGGGTTTGTTCCCTAACTACATAAGTGATTGAACCTCTCCTCCACCAAGCGCCGCACAAAACGCCATTCCAAGTTCCTCAAAAACTTAGTGAAAGTATGTAAGTGACTAAATCATTCAATTTGAGATTGTTCAAGGGATTAACAAAAGTTGTCACGAATACAGGAATGAGAGGTTTTCCATGCTCGGGAAGTTTGCCATCAGGATATTGAATTCAGTGACTAATTAAGGAAGATCCGAGTTTAGAAACTGCTGTTACCCTAGGTGTTTGAAGCCGTTGCGAAGTTTCGCACCCAATAAAACAATGTGAAATCTATGATCAAAGCCGTCCATCAACGAGGCATTGAACACTAGACTTTGATCATTTTCAGAAAATTAAGACAAGCCAAATTTCTGAATTCTCTTAAGGTGGTTTGTCTGCATTTGATATAAAAAAATAAATAAATAAAGTGCACTGGAAAAAAACCACATTGGATCTTGAGTCCAGACTCTTAAAAACATCGACAAGAAAAAGTACTCTTGATTCAATCAGAATCTAGCTTAAATCAAGAACCAAGCCTCTTCATTTAAGCGGATTTCGTTTTGATTCAAGCAAAAATCCGATTGAATCAAGAGTATTTTTCTTGTCAATGTTTTCAAGAGTCTGGACTCCAGATCCAATGTGCTTTTTTTCCAGTGTGCGTGAAAATTTGGAGATTAAGTGACGGCAAGAATTCGCAGAAAAAAAGAAAAAAACTAGTAAGCAACCGTGTTTTTTATAATGAAGTGTTTCCCATGGTTAAATTTTTATTGTTAGTCAATACCAAAATATTTTTTGAGACATATGCGACGTTTTCTAAGACGAGCGTTATAGTTTCTTCGCAGAATACTGCATGAAAATTGATTTGAGCCGGTGTCGAGTTTTGATCAAACCGGCATGACATAAAGCATCCTCTTGGTAAAAAATCGGAAACTTTAAGTTTTGGTAAAAAAAAACTATCGGGACATCTGATTCTTAAAAAAAGGTTCCAAATAAAAAATCTTATGATTCAAAAAACGTGCAACGGAATTTGCCCATATAGTAGATATTTTACTCGAATAATGAATAATCGATTTCCGTATTGAACGAAATTATTTTCTTTCTTGAGAGTTCTTCTTTTTATCAGTTTGAAATGTTGAATTTCTTTTTCTGAAGCAAATGATTTTTTTGACTTTTGAAGAAAGGCTGTCTTCGCTATTTTGATCTAAAACTAAAAGCTCTCTCGAATCTCAAAACAATCGAAGTACAAAATTATGCGACAGTTCAACCACAACCAGAACCCGAGTTAAAGCATTTGGCAGCATTCCGCGCTAATCTTATTTTAAAAAATAAAACAGGACATCTGAATATTGAAAAATTGCGGCATTTTTGTTTGATTTTTCAGGGCAAGAAAATGGAATTTCCTAGAGCAAAAAGGGCTGCTTTGTTTTTTATGGCATGGGTTCTTTCTGTGCATCACAATGGAAAGAATACTTAATATCACGTAAAATGAAGTTGGGAAATATTACGTATTCAAGATTTCTGGATCATAGTTGAACCGAGAGGATTCATGTAGTACACGCTGCTTCATCTACTTTCTGGAAAAAACAAAAGTAGTGCCCGTCTTTAATTTTTCTACCCGAACAGCTATTTCTTAGTGATTCGTTCCGAGTGGCAACAAAGGGTATAAATTAAACGGTAATCAGAAATCAATTTGTTCTCTGAAGCTTGCATTTAATTTGCTCGAGAAATCCTGGTTAATTGGAGGAAATTACTTACTCCGTGATCCTTTCCGGACCTCGATGTTGCAGAGAATAAGACGGGGGATTTCAAACCCTACGATTCCACAATCTTGGAGGCTCAACAGTCAAGCAAAGGCAAGATTGGAATTAGTATTAATGGACGCACCTATCCAAGATATCTGACAGTTTTTTGTTAGTGAACGGAGAGATAACTGTTTCATCTATCTGAAACGACCTAAAACTAGCAATCTCCATTGGAAAGTGTCTTTAAAATTTGATATCCTTGAATATCTTACGGAACATTAAAGGAATTTCAAACTATCATCATCAAGATTAATATATGTACTTAACAAGGTAGATATTTTTTATCACAAGGAAAAAAACGAATATATCATCAAATGGGGTTTTAAAGACTGGTCCTAAAGAACGAGGAATTAAAGTTAGAAGAACAAAGCTCTAATAAAGATTGGGAGTTGTAATGTTTTTCCGCTTGAATAATTTAATGTTTGATGCGTTTAAACATCCTTGATAAAGAACGCACCGTTTAAAAATGAGTTATAATTACTCTTAATTGAGGTCTATTAATTTGAAACAACGAGAAAAATGATTGTCTTCCTCCAGTTTTCAACTGATTCTCTTAGAATCGGTAAAATTTTAGGTTTGATTTTTTTCTTTCGTAAAGGTGAAATTAACAACATTTTGCAATTGAGAACTACAATTTCTGACTCATATATGTCAGAGATGAAATGTGTGTTATAAGTTCCCTGTGCAGGTAGGGGCTTCTATGGATGAGCCTGAAATTGTAGCTCCAAGTTGCAAAATGTCATTCAAACAGCACATATCTAGAGTTACCACGATAATCCCAACAAGAATCAAGGGACGTTTTTAAAAACTGGTTGAACCTGTTTTGATGAGTCAATTTTTAACAAAATTATCATGACGCATGGTGGAATTAAATTCAATGCGGCGAAATTTTGCGAACAGTCAAAATACCAAAAAAGGAAACTTGCCTACGAGTAGAAACAAGTCTTTGGAATTTGATCTCATAACTCATCAGAATCTCCTCCAGTGACGTAAAATGTTCATCAATTTCAACCCCAAAAAAGAATCATCCCTACCACAGGTAATAATTGGATGATAACACAAAAAGGGCGGGTGAGCACTACTTATGGAAGGGAAACGTGGTGAGTGTGGTCATCGGAGTCGATTCAACACGTGTGCTACNTTTCAGTGTGCCTACGAGTAGAAACAAGTCTTTGGAATTTGATCTCATAACTCATCAGAATCTCCTCCAGTGACGTAAAATGTTCATCAATTTCAACCCCAAAAAAGAATCATCCCTACCACAGGTAATAATTGGATGATAACACAAAAAGGGCGGGTGAGCACTACTTATGGAAGGGAAACGTGGTGAGTGTGGTCATCGGAGTCGATTCAACACGTGTGCTACTCCGGTTCTTCATTCAATATTTTTATGCAGGATATAATATATGCAAACGAATCTTTCTGACAGATCGCATTTTGTTTGTTCACAGTTGAACTGTTCGTGGATTCTGGGTGTCAACTGTACCAACCTTTTGAAAAATATCACCGACCAACACTCGGAGTATATCAGTGAGTAATCAAATTTTGTATCCAATATTTCAGCTTTGTTATCTGTGTAATAAAGCCAACTTCATCGTGCGGTCCGCGTGCGTTCAAAAAAACTTGTTAAATTTGCTCTTATGGATGAGCTATCATTAGTCATGAACATAAATAAACTGTTATTTTACACTCTTGTCACGCTTTCATCACTCGGACATGAACATCATTGTATGTTTTTTTTCCAGGTTTTTGCTAGTCCCTTCTTCCTAACTCCTCCTTATCCATTTTCGAGCTGCGTAGATTAAATTTGGTATATGGCGCATCAAATATCGAGTTTTCCATGTTCATTTGTGAGAATTCGAGTACATGCAAAGGATATCGTATATTTAACAAATTCAAAGTTATGATGAAACTTCATGAATTCTCCTACATTTCAGTTCGGAACGTTCAAATCACAAAATGATTCTATCATGTCTTTCGACCTTCGCAGTCAAGGTAAAATAAAGCAGTGTAATACATATTTCCTCATATAATAACTTTAGGGATCATCCATAAATCATACTTAAAAACTAAAAAACTAAACATAAAGAAATTAACTAGAACACAAGAACTCTAGAACTAGAACTAAAAATTTGGGAAATTAACTCCCTTAAAAACTTTTGTCACCCTCTGTTTGATACATTACTCTCTTTCTCTCTTTTCGCATCTTACGATGAAATACGTGGTTTGGGATTTTCAACGTCGATAAATTATTTATTTCGCTGTTCTGTATCGTGTTCGTTGCCACGATAAGGACCCTCTTCCTTGCCTAAACCATATAATATGACTCAACAAAATATCGACGGTGAAACTACCAAACCACGTATCTCGGTTTGCGACGTCGCAGACTTCCTGTCATACTTTATTTTTTAAATGAAAAACTACTTAACGTCCAGTCTTGAAAATTTCTGTGATTTTTCCTCTTCGTGCGGAGAAAATTCTGTGAAAATTTCAAGGAACGATATTGATTTGGTCTACTTCAAAAAAATAAAATGTGAGCGTAGATTTTTAAACACCGCAAACGAGATACGTGGTTTGGTACTTTCACCGTCGATATGTAACATGCACGGGTAATCACCAGTGGCGTGGCCTGACTTGCGATATATCGATTGTTATGCCATTTAAACCTGTGGTAAAGAATCGATTATTAAGATGTTCGCTGCAAACACCCTGTTTATCGATCCTTTTCCATAGGTTTAAATGGCATAACAATCAATATATCGCAAAGCACGCCACGCCACTGGTAATCACCGGTGGCACAGTGGCTCATTCATCTGGTGAAAAATCGGTAGCACGGGTATAAAGTCATTAGTTGGTAAGCGATGAATTTCAAGTTGTAAATGTTCAATTCTTCCGGTTCAATAAAACGAACGCAAAGCGGTCCCTTTTCGGACGAGTGTTGACCCTCGTTACAACCGCGACCACGACCGCACCGCGGGAATCCCTCAAGACCAAAATCAAAGCGAATATTTCACCCGCCTCCGACCTTCATCCGCGTGGAATGATCGTGGTCCCCGTCCCGAGGGTTGTCATTGAATAGCCGACTTATTGTCTGTTGTCAAATAGGCCTGCCACCCATCAGAGATATAAGCAACTGTACGGAAACTTTATGGGTAAAGTAACACTGCTAGAAATCTCGGAATAAAACCTAGAGTGCATTTTAGTCAAGAGTGAAATGCATTTCGAAATTGGCTCCGAAATTTTAGATCGGTACAACGTTGAGCGTATCATAAATGTATACAATAGAGATGTTGCATGTGTGAGGAATTTGCGATTTGACCATTGATTCTAATGTAAAAGTTTGCGAGAAACACGATGGTGCCACTGGTTTCCTCTGAAATCAACTCCCAAGCTCAAAAAAAGCTCTCGAGTTGAGGCCAAAATGGAGGGGATATCTCACGCTATCCTGAGAGTCCACCTCTACATCAAAACAAACTCTCTATGCAAAAATAGGGAGCAAATACATTGACAGGGCTGCCACTTTATTTGGAGACTCTAAAACTGAAAACACGGCAACCCTGCTAATGTATTTGCTCCCTATCTTTGCATGGAGAGTTTGTCTTGATGTAGAGGTGACACTCGGGATAGCGTGGGATATCCCCTCCATTTTGGCCTCAACTTGAGAGCTTTTTTTGAGCTTGGAAGTTGATTTCAGAGAAATCCAGTGGCTACATCGTGTTTCTCGCGAACTTTTACATAAGAATCAACAGTCAAATCGCAAATATCTTACACATGCAACATCTCCATTGGCTCCGAAATTTTAGATCGGTGCAATTACGTTGAGCGTATCATAAATGTACCTATACAATTCACTGTTTAAACCATATGATTTGCATGCATTTCCATTTACTCAGTCTTCATGGTCGCTGACAATCAGTAAGCTGATTGTTGAAATTGATAGATAAGGCTAAAGCCCTAAAGATGACAAATGATGGGCTTGGAAGACAAGGCGCAAGTGCAGTTTTTGCTATTTCAAGAAATACGTGCTTAAAGTTTCATGATTACATGGAGCGTTATGGCAGGAAGGAAGTATAAACTCACTTTTTGATGCTGTTAAATTGGATTTAAGTTGTGAATTGTTCACGGCATATACTTGCAAACTCAAATTAGTTGAATTTATGAAAATCTCAATTTCGTCAAAAACTGCACTTATGCGCCTTGTCCTCCAAGCCTCTGTGGATGAAAGCAGGTGGTTGCAATGTACAAAGAAGGTATGGTATAGACTAACTAGGCAACCCACTAGAGACCCTACAGTTAGTCCGTCACTTTTTTTTCAATAGTCTAAGAACAAACCATGTCAACCGAAAGGATCACTTTAATCCCCCTCTATGTCTTCCTTGTCTATCGATTTGTCTATTAATCTCAACAATCAGCCCTTCTAGTTCGTGAAGAAAGAGAAAATTAAGTGTGCTATAATCTCGCTTAGTAAAGGACGTCCGATCATGATGTCATGGAAGGTAATTCAATCGGATAATATATGGGTATTTGATCAAACTGGAGGGTGTGGAAGGAGTTGAACATTTTCAATCCATCGGGCACACTTCGGCATCAGGGTGTGCTTGCAGTTCGTATCGCGTCCCCTCGAAAAACGAAGTTTGCACCATTACGAGTTCGGGGGAAATTCTATTTATGGATGCAGGGGGGTGATCGATTCAAACGTTCAACGACAAGAATTTTAAAACACGAGTGATCGTGTGGAAGTGAATCGTTGATATACTGAAGACTTCGTGGTTTGGTGCCCCTCTTCCGAACGGTATTTAGTCACTCAGAAAGATACTTAACTTTTGCAGTGAAGCTTTATTTAAAAAAAAAGGTCCTTTTTCTGTTTCTTCATTCTCAAGTGCAATAAGCGTGGGGTAGAATAACTCCCTTCCTGATTAACTTAGCATGGCGTTGTGAGGGCCGTTCATAAAATACACAACGCTTAATCAGATGTTTTTACCCTCTTTCCCTGTAACGCACCCGTAACGGTATTTACCTTCTCTAAATCATACGTAAAGCTCCGTTTGACTCCCTTCTCCCAAAAAGTGGGAATATCTTTGATTGACCTCAGTTCTTCCCTACTTGTAAAATAATGAATAACGGTAAAAATCAAAGAGGAAAACGAAGCCAAAACGAGATTTTCGAATATTTTCAACTATACAAGTCAAAGAAAAATGACAATGATAAAATAAGGGAGATATTGAAAAATCTTTAAAATAAAATAAGATACAAGGGAAAAAGAAACAATGAAAATTAATCTTCAAAAAAATAAAAAATACACCGTTAAGGGATGCGCGTAACGTACGCTTACACCCCCTACCTCCCCCTGGAGCATTACTTATGTAATGAATGCCGCCTAGTCGTGGATAAGTTCTTCAATATTAGTGCATGTTTTACCATGTAATGTTCGTTTTACGAATGTCGCACATCCAATTTTAGTGTAGTGGCCTAATGATGATCGTAAAGAGATCGAAATAGCTATCGTCTAAGTCTAAAGACTCAACGTGATCGGGGAAGACCAAGGTAAAATTATCAGTTCGGATATGATAATTATTTGAGGTAGTTCTACGGTAAAAAGGCATGCGATAATTCGTAAAAAGGCACCCGCAAAACAAGATATCTCCTGTGCAGCTACAATTTTTCATCCCTCTAACTTATCTCCGAGTGTTCTCATTGTTCGTGAGTGTGTCTCACTTTTATGCAAAAAAGAATAGGCAGTCTAACATGGCTCAATAGCTGAGGATGAATTCATTTCGAAGGGGAAGAGGAATTTTTCTCTATACTGCCGTCTATACTGCCATGCTAAGAAAAAACGCCGTATGAGCCTTCAGGCGTTGCCAAATTTCCCCTGGCAAATCACTAATTTTCAGGGAAATTTTTTAATATTTGTCAACCAATTTCTCAGAAAATTTCGTTTGTAATTTCATCTAAAACGTCTGAAAATTTCAAGGAAAAATATTCATAATTTTCCTCAAAAATAAACATTTTATCGAAGGAAATTTGGCAACTCTCGAATGTTCATACGGCGTTCTTCCTTAGCACGGCAGTGTAGTATTCCTGAGCTCCTGAACATGTGCATGGAGGTGTTGCGGTTGTTCTTATTTGAATCAGTACGATTAATACTCAATGAAAGGTGTCAAAGAGAGCCACCCTTTAAAATCGGATGAAATCCGGAAAACAAGAACGTCTCGAGTTGAGGCCTAAGAACAAAGGGGCTTTGCGCCGCCTCAAATAGCCGCGGAACTTCAAAGCTACCGGATTATAAAGCGGCAAAGGCGACTCGCGGAAACCCTTTACGTATCTGACAATGTCGCGAGGCTTTTCAAGGGGTTCTCGAACGAGAGGTTTTGTTGACACTTCGGATTTTAAAAACTTGGTTTCTTCGGGTTTTTTTTCCATTTTTTCATTATATTTTTGTGCTCTCCCGGATGCCACCCTGGAATGGACCACCTTACATTTTGTCATCTGAGTGCTACTTTTCCGCTTGTGAATATACTGGCTGGTCTTCC